GCTGATGCCCTTCTTCCCCTAGACATACTCTTATGCTGCTCCTCTTCTAGAAGCCCTCGCTGCCCACCCAGCTGGCCCTGTGGATGGGATCCTCTTGGACCTCTTCTAGCCACCCCTTGTGGGAGGGTGGGGCAAATACAGGGCAGACACTGGACAAAGCCCACTGGATCACCTGGCCCCCACTGGACAACACTGGTTCCTGGAAGGAAGGCTGTGGCCTCCGCCACCCACAGCCTCTCTCCAGCACACACTGGACTCTACTGGCTGAGAATTTGGAGAATGAGGAGGACAAAAAAGGGAGAAAGATCTTTCCTGTGTCTACTCCTGGAATTGTCCTCAGCTTTGGCTTCTCCCCCTTCTCTGAAACACTGGACCTGGGGGGCGATCCCTGCCCCCGACCCCCAGTCATTCCCAACTTCTACCTGCCATGTTGTAGCTAGAACTTCTCTAAGCCTATATGTTTCTGTGGAATAAATATTGGGATTAGGGGGAAAGAGGGAACAATGGCCTATGGCCCTGGGGTTGGACATCTCTGTTGTAGCTGCCACATTGGTTTTTCTATAACTGCTTGGGTTTGTACATTTTTGGGGGAAGAGAGACAGATTTTTACACTAATATATGGATCTAGCTCAATGTAATTTTAATCCCCTGCACTAGGCAGGTAATAATAAAGGTTGAGTTTTGCACAGCTATGAATAGGTTTCTTGGGGTTTTGGTAGAATCCGCCTTCTGCTCCTCCCCCGTTCCATTTTCTTCTCTTTTTCCTCCTCCACATTCCATTTCCTACCATATATTTGCACAGCATAATATTCTGGTCTCCATAAGCCAGACCCTTGCCTGTGTGACCTCAGGTCCCACATGAATGTATGAACCTTGTCAACTCCAACACGAATTCTGCAGGAGGCCTGAAGGGAGGTGGATTAGGCCTGGGGTCTTAGCCTGGTTTGACCCATGGACCCCTCTGGCAATCTGGAGAGGTCTACTGATTCCTCCTCAAAATGATGTTTTAAAACCCATTAAAAAGGTGTGTGTATAATATATAGATATATGATTATATAGGAAGTCAATCTAAAGTTTACCAAATGTTAAAAAAATTAGTAACATGCTTTTTAGTATATTAACAAGATCTAGCAGCAGGTGTAATAACTACTGACATTTCCAAATAGTGTAACGATAAACAGTATTCTGAGATTTCTACAGCTGTAGTGGGATATGAAAATAGCTATGGTGTTACACACTGTGCTAATACTACTGAGGGTTTTGTTCATATTCATAGTTGGAGGAAATAAGAAACTTCAGTTAGAAGTTAATAAAACTAGAGGTGTCTTTTTCTCCAGCCCACATTCTAGGACCGCCTACCCCGCCCCCCCACAAGGGTCTGGAAGTCCCAGGTGGAGAATACTTGGATTAGGCAGATCAAGTGTGCAGATCACCCAATGGGTGCAAGCTGTTTCACTGGGAGCCAGAACTAAGAACTTAAATTATCTCAGAGGCTTGGAAGGATTAGCCACAACCACCAAGAGAATATTTAACAGAGAGTTCAAATTGGGTTGGAAAGGGAAAAAAGTTAGTTGCAAATATTAGAAAAGGCGGACCCATCCTGATGGTAGTTCATGTGAAATAAAGACCCAGGGGTCATAGTTGATGATATTCACAAACTGAGCCAACAAGATAATATCAGCAAGATAATTTAATCTTAGGTTGAATTAATAGGCCCTTCTGAGTCCTGCTAAAACCTACATAGGTCAGATCACTGTGATCACGATTTAAGACAGGTACTGACAGGTTGAAGCCAGAACCCATATGGTGAGCAAAAGAAGCCATGCAGTTAGCTGAGAACTCTCAAACCTCTGAGCTCAGAACTCTTTGGAGTTGTAGACCTATGCAACCACCTAGAGTTCATTTGCACTTCAGTCTCAGCGTGTTCAAACCTCCCGAGTCCTTTCCTGACTCAGTGAATGACAGCATCATCCACTCAGCAGCATAAGCCACAAATCTGGGGATCATCCTTGACCCGCTTTCCGCTTTCTCCTACACTCCCCTCTCAAATCCAGTCTATCACAAAGCTCTGTTGATTTTGCTTCCCAAATTTCCCTTAAATATGTCATTTCTTCAGCCTCTATTGCCCTGGCACACATTACCGCCATCTCACCTGGACTACTATGATAGTCTCCCAGTATCTGTTCCTGCTCCTCTCTGGTTTGTTTTCAGCCCCGCATACAGAGTGATATTGAAAACACATAAATCTGACCCCATTCCTGTATTTTAAATCCTTTAATGGCTTCCCATTGACTTCAGAATAAGAACAAAATCTTCTTGGCCAACTTTGCCTGCCCCCGTTTCAAGGTGAGTCCTTCCCCACCCTCTCCTTTATGTACCACTGGCCTGCTTTCAGTTCCTCCCACCAGCCTTAGTCCCTCTTGCCACTTAGCCTTTGTAACATGCTGTTCCCCCACCTGGAACACAGTTCCCTGCTGTCTTTGCTTTCTTAATTACTGCTTGTCCTTCAGCAGTCTGCCCTATCTTGCCCGACCAGGTTAAACCTTCTCTTGATGCTCTCAGAGTACATGACTCTTCTTTGTAACACTTACTATAGGTGTGATTTTACATATTTTTTTAAAAAGAAAATAACATTTACTGAGCACCTACTATGTGCCAGGTACCATACTTATTACATATTATATCTTATTTAATACAACATATAAAGTAGATAAAATTATTGCCTTTTTATGGAGAAGAAAACTTCTCTGTTAAGCCACTTGCTCAAGGCCGCACAGCGGTAAAGGGTGAAGCTGATAGGAAGCAGCCTGTGGGATCCTGGATCTCTGTTCTTTCTCTCCATGATCCTGCCTGAGAGGTCATAAACTCTACATCACAGGAAGTTTTCAAGCACAGACTGGTTAGCCGTATGTCAGGGATCTCTTTCTACAATTCAGCTCCTAGGAGCCCGGCAGAGTTTTGCCTACATTGTAGAGAATGGTGACCTGATTTACCCAACTTCCCCTTGCTTGCTCCCATCAAAATGAAGCATATGAACTACTTGAGTTTTACACACACACAAAAGCGCTTACAAAGATGGCATTGGATTATGTACGCCATTTTGTAATCTGCTTTTCTTACCCTCGTAACACGTTGTATGTAGCTCCAGGCCAGTATGCAAGCAGTGATCCTCTCTAAGTATTGTCCAGTATTTTACATGTTGCAACGATCCACATGTTATCTACCTGACTCCCGATGATGGACACTTAGGTCGTTTCCATTGTTTTCATAATATAACAACAAATGCACTCCAATAAACATCTTCGCATCTATATCTCTGTACCTAGGTGGGAGAATTTCAGTATGATGCATTCCTAAAGGGGAAGTTGCTAGTTCAGAGGGTAGTCACATTAAAATCCTTGGTATATACTGCCAAATTGTCCTTAAAAAAGCATTCCTCTGTCAACCTTCAACAAAGGTATATGAGTAGGCTCATTGAGGTGGTCAATCCTTAATTATTTTTAAATTGGATTCTTAGTGTTTCTTAAATTTACTTTTCCTTCATTACTAGTGAAGTTGAATCTTTTCATTTGGTTGTAAATCATTTGTATTTCTTCTGTTTATTGCCTGATATCTATTTTACCAATCTTTCCATTGTGTTCTTTTTCTTATTGTTTTGTTAAGAGTTCTTTGTATTTTGTCCATTTTGTCAAATACTTCTTCTTAGATTGTAATTTGTCTTTTAACTCTAACATTTGCCATAAAGTTTTATCAGTTTTATGGCATTCTTTGAGGATTTTAAACATTGATCGCTAAAGAAACGGAATAAGAAACAAACTGCGTCGGCACTTTTTTAGCTGTCCAATCGTGGGCAAATTTTATCTCACTGGACTTTGGTCTTCCAGTCTGTAAAATGAGAACATTAAAACTTGCCTTATAGGAACTTAAGGAAGCGTGTAGCTCCGGCCTTGGCTGAAGACGTTCCCTTCTCTTTTCCTGCAGCGGGTTCATAAAGCAAATCAAAGCAAATTTTTTTTTTTTTTAAACTGTAATTATTAGGATCTTCTAACTAAACGGGAGGCGGAAGCATGGTGGACGTGGCAGTTTAGATTTATTATTTAACGTGCCCAGTGAGGCGCATTGGATCGTGTTAACAACTTCTAACTCGAAAAAATGCTCTGGAGGGCACATAATTCCAATTTTACCGGGAGCAACTGAGCTCAAGGAAACCCGTTTCGTGCGTCTCTAAACCTAAGCGCTTCATCACCAAGCCGTCTCCGCGCCTCCACCAGGAAGTCCTCGGGCATTTCTACTCCCGGGGTCCCGCCTCCAGTACCGGTCGGTTGCACAGGACGTTGGCAACGTGGGCGGAGAGCGACACGGAACTAACTGGCTCAGCCTCAGATGTCCCGGGTTCTCTCAATTAAAGGCCAGCCTTTTTCCTTGCAGCTTCTCCGCGGTGGCTTTTGGGAGTTGTAGTCATATGAGCGTCAGCCTACTTTGAGGTGAGCTAGGACAAAACTCCAATTCCCAGTATGCCTCGCGGCGCGCGAGTGTAGCGCCTATTCTTATCCTCCCTACCTTTCCATTACTTCCCTTTTCCTTCTCGTCTAAATCCTCCACTCGGGACTCTTGCCTATGAAATCCTTCTTTCCCCCCATCTTTTTCTCTCATTTTTCTTCTTTTTCTCTTTTTCTTCTTTCCCCCCATCTTTTTCTCTCATTTTCCACTATCCTTTTCCCTATCCCCGGGAGTCATTGTGAAACACTGACTCTGATTAAGCGACGCTTTGAGACTCAGAGTGCACGAGTGGGGATCGGCAGAAGTGGTAAGGGGTCCGGGAGAGAGGGGGTGGCGAAGTGTAAGAGGAGTTGAGTCAGTGGTGAGGAGTGGGAGGAAAGTAGGGGAGAAATTAGTAGGTCTGTCGGTGTAGAACAGGTTGAATGGGGTGAAGTAGTTTTGGGACGAGGGGAGGAGAGAGAGAGGAAAGAGTTGGAATTAAATTCGGAAGACATAGAGGGGAAAAGTTGTTAATTGCTGTGCTCAGCTGGAGAACTGGGGCCAAGAAATAGATGAGAACGTCTGACAGATTTGGTGCTTATAGGCTGATCTGATCAGGAGATGTGGAAGGGAGAGAGGTTTGGGTTCAAACAAGTCTTTGTCACTGCTAAGTGAAGATGAGAAAAATCATTGAAATACAAAATAGTTTTGCAAATATGGGTCTCTTAATAATTCTGTTACTTGGCAATTGAGAGAAAACTGGAGTTGAGGCCAGAAGTGGGGTGAGGAGGCGGTATAGGAGGGGAAGTCAGTCAGGTTTGGGAGAAACTAAATGAATGATGTGGAAGAGGAAACCATAGAGAAGATAAGTTATTGTAGGGCCAGTGGATCTAGGATTGGAATGAGAAAGGTGAGGGATGACACTAGCATGGATTACGGGGTTGTGTTTCTAACACTTGAATTTCTCAGGTGATGGAGAGCATCCCCCCAAGGGGTGTACTAAACCGAGTACACCTACAATGCAGGAATCTGCAGGAATTCCTAGGGGGCCTGAGCCCTGGGGTATTGGACCGATTGTATGGGCACCCGGCCACCTGCCTGGCTGTTTTTAGGTGAGGATGCATGCCCTTCATGGCAAGGACCATGGTGGGGAAATGTAATGGGTCCTGCAAACTGGATAAGTTATTATGGGTAGAGTATAGTCCTAGGGGGCTTGGAGATTAAAGTGTGTCAGGCCACAACATGTGTTTGTGGGGGCAGCAAGACTGGTAAGGGTGTGGGGCGTGAGATGAGATGTTTGAGAGACTGAGATGCAGATCTAAGATAGTTGACGGATACTAACATATTGCCTCTATCCCCTGCAGGGAGCTCCCATCTTTGGCTAAGAATTGGGTGATGCGGATGCTCTTTCTGGATCAGCCTTTGCCACAAGCTGCTGTAGCCCTGTGGGTAAAGAAGGAATTCAGCAAGTGAGTCTACTGCATTCTCAGCCAGATACAAATTTCTCAACAGCTAGATTTCCCAAACTGCTGTTCTTTGAAACATTTTCAGGAAATATAAATGGGTACACCACAAAATTTATAATTAAATTAGTTTGGGAAACTCTGTGTACTGTATTTTCTCTCTTGGAGAGGTTGTGATGTATATAACAAGACTTTGGTAGGTGTTACAGTAAAGAAATTTGCCTTAAGACATTGATTTCACTCTGAAACAGTAATCCGGGGATCACCTGTTCAGAAAAGGCAGAAGTGGAGGCCTTTATGGGTCTCCTTTTTGTTTTCCAGACACCTCCATCACCTCTCTGTTTCTGTTTTAGAGCTCAGGAGGAAAGTACAGGGCTGCTGAGCAGCCTCCGTATCTGGCACACTCAGCTGCTCCCTGGTGGTCTCCAGGGCCTCATTCTCAACCCCATCTTCCGCCAGAACCTCCGCATTGCCCTTCTGGGTGGGTATGTTAATTCTATCTCTTCTTAAACTTCTTAAACTTTAGGGAACTAAACTTCTGGAGAGGGAGCTCCTTAGGGGCCTCTGGAACTTTGTGGGCTCCACCTTTGGGGGCTCCTTTAGGAATAAGTTGGACTAGGTGTAGCTGCATGGTGTAGGAAATGCCTCCCAATCATGGCCCATGGAGGCAAGGGTGGAAAGAGGGCAGAGGGGCAGGCAGGGAACACAGGCAGGGATCCTTACTCTTCACCCTTCCTGGCATAGGGGCAAGGCCTGGTCTGATGACACAAGTCAGCTGGGACCAGACAAGCATGCCCGAGATGTCCCCTCACTTGACAAGTATGCTGAGGAACGATGGGAGGTGAGGACTTGGGAGTCTGTGTGTCTCTGCTTATGCTCCTACTTCCTACAGACCCTAGAAGCATCTCTCCTTTCTCTTCTGTTTCATAGGTGGTCCTGCACTTCATGGTGGGCTCTCCTAGTGCAGCTGTCAGCCAGGACTTGGCTCAGCTCCTCAGCCAGGCTGGGCTCATGAAGAGGTGAGGAAGCCACAGGTATAACAGCCCCCTGCTTTGCCATCTCCTTAGGTCTCTGCTAAACTGAGGTCAGGATTGGCAGGGGGCGGGGGGTGGCGGGGCTTGACTGAAAAAGGAGAGCTGAGTGGAGTATAGCCAGAGATAAACTAAGAAAATACATGAGAGAACAAGTGGGGATGGTGGCCTTCTGTGCACACCTACCATTTCCTCTCTTCATCTCTAGTACCGAGCCCGGAGAGCCACCCTGTATTACCTCTGCTGGCTTCCAGTTCCTGTTGCTGGACACTCCTGCCCAGCTCTGGTACTTTATGTTGCAATATCTGCAGACAGCCCAGGTGAGGAAGCCTGGGGCTGCTTGCCGGCATGGTCTGCTTTTCTCAGGACCCACTGAGAGACTACTGCCTACAGACTTGGTTCCTGATTCATTTTCCTCTCATTTTTTTCCTCTCATCCCTCCCCCTTTGTCTTTGCACATTCCTCCCTAGAGTCGGGGCATGGACCTAGTGGAGATCCTCTCCTTCCTCTTCCAGCTCAGCTTCTCTACTCTGGGCAAGGTAAGCAGGGGCTGGAGCTGGGGGGTTTGGTGGGCGAGCTGAAGTGAAGCGAGATGGGAAGGATAAATGAGGTTATGGGGCAATAGAGTGAAAGAATGAACAAAGCACGACCAATGATGGGAAAAGAACAAGTGAGTGCATGGGGTTTGGAGAGAGAAAATGGGATGTTTTGGACCCCAGCTGGCTACTTCTTTTCCCTAGGATTACTCTGTGGAAGGTATGAGTGATTCTCTGTTGAACTTTCTGCAACATCTTCGTGAGTTTGGGCTTGTTTTCCAGAGGAAGGTATGAGCACCCAAATATGTGGCTTCTAGGGAAGAGGCCGGGTGGTATGTTGCCCTGGCCTTTAAAAAGGTGTGGGGTTTCGGATGGCAGAAGGAAGCAGTTGCCAGGACTAAATACTTGGGTCCTTTGCGGGAGAGAAGTTGGGAGTTGAAGCTCTGCACTGGGAGGGATCCTGTGTCTCAGGAAGGAAGATGTAGGGCAGGGACAAGAGAGAGAGAGCCCTCTGCCTTTCCTTTCTATCTTTTCCAGAGGAAATCTCGGCGTTACTACCCCACACGCCTGGCCATCAATCTCTCATCAGGTGTTTCTGGGGCTGGGGGAACCGCGCATCAGCCAGGCTTCATAGTCGTGGAAACCAATTACCGACTCTACGCCTACACAGGTGAGGCAACAGAAGGCCCCTGGGAGAGGAGGTTGGAGATGGGAGTCAGGAGGGGAAAGGAGGCAGGAAGGCATGCCAGTTTTTGTTCAGTTTTCCTGGGAGTTTACAGAGTTTTCTGACATTTATCATTACACTGGAAGGAGGGGCTTGAGGGAGTCTAGGTATGGGGTTAGCCTCCTTATCCTCTCTTCCTGTCCTTGGGTCAGAGTCAGAGCTGCAGATCGCCCTCATTGCCCTCTTCTCTGAGATGCTCTATCGCTTCCCCAACATGGTGGTGGCGCAGGTGACCCGGGAGAGTGTGCAGCAGGCCATTGCCAGTGGCATTACAGCCCAGCAGGTATCCTCAGTTGGGGGGTGGTGGGAAGCATTTGGGCTATGGGGTACAGGGTGATGGCCTTACAGAAGGCTAGTACCAGGTTTGTTACAATGGGTAGTGGTGACTTGTCTGTATTTGAGCATAGACCGGGCACATAAGGAGAAGTCAAGGTGTGGGAATAGGCAGACCTTTGAGGGGGAAAACCTGGAGGAAGGAGTTATAGCTCTGGATTTGTGTCTGGGCATCACCACTTCCTTAGCTGCATAAACAGCCTAGTTGCTTTATTTCCCTGAGCCTTCGTTTCCTCGTCTGGAAAATGGAAATAATGAATTTTCATCTTACTGGGTTGTTGGGAGGTCATTGGGAGAATAATGGTAAAACGTTTAGCTCAGAGCCTGCCAGGCAGTAAGTGTTGCTATTTTAAAGAGAAACAAAACTATGCAAACGGCAGACGTGCCAGAGAAGGAATAGCAGACATGACCAGTGTGAACAGCAACTTGGGACAACAGCCGAAAAGGGAATGGGCTGATGACAGGCATGTAGCTATGAGTTTTTATTTTTATTTATTTTCATTTTTATTTTTTTTGAGAAAAAGATTTTTTGAAAGTACATTTTAGAAGGAGATGGGCCCGGCTAAAGAAGGCTGCAGCCCTGCAGAAATTAGGAGATAAGGAGATAAGATAGTACACCCCCAAAAGACGGGTGGGTTTCCTGCCAGGAACGCTGTAATCTTGGCTGAGTTTTTAAACAGCGAGTTGGTGTTCCAGTGACATTAGGTGATGGCATAGATATAGCTTTCCTGCCCTCTTATTCGAGTCCTTGATTCTGTTGTCTGTTTTCCTAGATCATCCATTTCCTAAGGACAAGGGCCCACCCAGTGATGCTTAAACAGGTACAAACAGATACCAAGCTGCTGGAGGCTGACAGCCCCTGGCACATGAAGCAATAGAAAAGTGAAAGGAGCAACCAAATCTAGGGAATGGGTGGAGCATTCAGGTAGTCTGGGGCAGTAGTCCTTAATCTTACAGCCATTCCTTACCCCTGTAGACACCTGTGCTGCCGCCTACTATCACGGACCAGATTCGGCTATGGGAGCTGGAAAGGGACAGACTCCGGTTCACCGAGGGTGAGTGGCTTCTGGTGGTTGATTCTTGATCATTGGCCAGAGGAAAGACAATTCAGTCTTTATGAGCTGAAAAAGCTATTCATGCATTTTTTTTTTTTTTTTGGTTTGCTGCATGGGCTGAGAGAAAAGTTAGCAAGACACTTTTTATTTTGGAGTGAGTAGATAGTAGTAAATATCTCAGATCAGTGCAACTTGGATTTAGCTAGAAAATGGAACTTGGGAGGGATAATTCACAGTAATTCATTTTTCTGGTTTTGGTGAGCATTAATGGGTTTTCTTATTGTATTATATTGACTTCCTGAATATGGTTGAATCACGCTTGTGTTCAGATGAGCCCTGAAAGAGACCAGCATAGAGAATTAGTTTTTAAATGGTCGTTGGTGGCAAGCCCGGACCACAGCCCTTAGGCTGCCACAGAAAGGCCCCTCCTCATGTTCTCTCCCCCCACCTCTCCTGCCTTCTGGCCCCCAGGCGTCCTGTATAACCAGTTCCTGTCACAAGTGGACTTTGAGCTGCTGCTGGCCCATGCGCGCGAGCTGGGCGTGCTTGTGTTCGAGAACTCTGCCAAGCGGCTCATGGTGGTGACCCCTGCTGGGCACAGCGACGTCAAGCGCTTCTGGAAGAGGCAGAAGCACAGCTCCTGAGAATGGAGACTAGGACCCGGCGGCATTAGCCGAGTCGTCGTGTGGAGGCGGGCGCGGCCCCAGAACTCAGAATTTTTTTATTGACACTTGAGGACTGTGTTTAATAAAGTTGTGAACGTGAGGCACGCGGCTCCGGGAGCCTCCCCGCGGGACTTCAGCTCTAAGCAGCCGACGCGGCCATTGGGCTGGGAGGAGGAGTGGGGTGGGGCCGAGCAGCCACTGCACATGCGCCCGGCCGGGGCCCTGCCTCCCCGAAGCGCTCCTCGCGGCGTCGGTGGCCATTGGACTGGGAGGAAGAGGAGGAGGAGGGGGAAGGGGGTGGGGCCGGGCTGAGCAGCCATTGCGCATGTGCCCGGCTGGGGCCCTGCCTCCTTTCGCCGGGCGAATCGCGGGGCCAGTTTCAGGTCCGGTTACTGGTGTCCCAGCCCTTGCCGCCGCTGGGCACCCTGGGATAGCAGCGTGCTCTCCGGTGGGCGCGCGTCAGGGCGGCCTCCCGAGGGTGGGAGGTGGTGCGGGGTCCGGGTCCACGCGGTTGAACGCGCGAGAAGGCCGGGTCGTGTGGAGCCGAAAGCAGCGCAGGCGGCCTCTGGACAGGCCGAGGTCGCGGTGACTCTGGCGGGACTCTTAGTGGCTTTCGGGCGCGCTCGTGTCGGTCATCTTCTGGAATCCCTGAGTTTTTCACTCTCTCATTTGTTAGCGGTCTCCCCCACGTCGCACTTGTATAGTTTGAGGGCTAGAAACCCTGACCCTTTCCCAGAAGATCCCTGTTTTTCGTGGCTGCAGGATCTTGGTACTGTCGACACCATGTATTCTAGTTTTAAAGGAGAAAGGGTTGTGTGGGAAGGGATAGAGTGAGTAACCATCCAGTGTTAGTAGGAGGCAGGTCATAAAAAATAGGCCGTGACTTTTTTAGGATATGTGATCTCTCGCACCCTCATATCCACCTAATGTGCTTTGTCTATCTGGAACAGATCTTGGCCCCTTTCCAAGCACTCCTGATGCCTCATTTGCCTCTGACCTCTTTTCGACAACCACTTTGTGAGCTGAGGTGCTCATGGTGCCTCCCCAGGTCCCATCCCTTTTCCTTCCAGTCAGAGGCGCATGGATCCCCCATCTTCCGGAGAAACCGTGAAGCCAAACAGAAACGCCTGCAAGAGAAGCAGGAGGCGCTGGAGGCTGGGTTAGCCCGGAGGAGCAAGGTTAGGGATCACACAGCTTATCCTTGGGTCTCTGAGAAGACTTGGGAGGGTGCTGGAGGAGGCACTGGCTGGATTCCAGATGCCTGGGGTGTACTGGGAACTGCACTGCTCCCTCCCTCCTTTTTTGATCTCTCCCCTTAGTCACCTGCAGAATCCAGTAAGGCCTGGACTCCTAAAGAAATAGTGTTGTATGAAATCCCCACGGAACTTGGTGAAAAGAAAGGTAACTAGGAAATTCGTTCCCCATTTGGTTTGCTGAAATGCAGAATGAAGTTTAGAAGTTAGTGGAATTCTCTGCTTCCACAGATGTCTCCCAGCCCCTGCCTCCTGCATACAGCCCCCGATTTGTTGAGGCTGCCTGGTACCCTTGGTGGGTGAGAGAGGGCTTCTTCAAACCAGAATATCAGGTTAGTACGTGGCAGGGAGGGGTACTAAACAGTTCCAGGACAGTGTGGCCCTTGAACTTGGTGGGCACAATGGAACCTCAGAGCTTGTCTTCTGCTTCTGGTGCTTCCAAAGCATTCTCTTGGCTGGGTTTCCCTTTCCCTGTTTGCAGGACAGTTCTTCCCTGCAGTTCTTTCTGCCTTGGAGACACCAGAGGGTGCTATTGCTTCAGGTAACATCCAGTTCTCTTTTGCCCTTTGACTTTGCTCCTTCTTTCTAGACCAGGCTACCCCAGGCCACTGGGGAGACCTTTTCCATGTGTATCCCACCTCCTAATGTCACCGGCTCCCTGCACATTGGGCATGCACTGACGGTGGCCATCCAGGATGCTCTCGTGCGCTGGTGAGGGAACTGGGGCAGCTCGGGTTCTTGGAGAAGTAGAAAGTGGGGGAAGGAGTGAGGATAAACATCTAAGCTTGGGTTCATGTGAGGGTGTTTCTGTTGCAGGCACCGGATGCGTGGGGATCAGGTGCTATGGGTCCCTGGCTCAGATCATGCAGGAATTGCTACCCAAGTATGTTTTTTGCCAGTTTTCCTTTTCTTGGGTGAAAGACTTTTTCCCCCAAAAGTGACCTGATTCTTTGTTCATTTGCCACCTTATCTTACTGTAGGCTGTGGTGGAAAAACAGCTGTGGAAGGAACGAGGAGTGAGGAGACATGAACTAAACAGGGAAGACTTCCTCAGGGAGGTGTGGAAGTGGAAGGAGGAGTGAGTATGCATATAGAGGGGCCAAGATCGCAGGTTTGGGTTCTCGCTTCCTGGGCACTCTCCTAACTTGTAGTAGTTCTTCCCATTCAGCCCTAACTTTCCTAACTAACTTCCAGGGAATTAAGCTCTGGAGCCTCTTAGCATTTGGTGGGGTCTCCAAGCTGTATGTGTGTGCGCGTGTTATACATGAAGATGTGTATACTTATGTGTGTATATGTAGATACACACACACATTTCCTCTCTCCACTTATCTCATTTTCCCTTGACTAGATTTCATCATCTCTCCTACTCACCCATTCTTACCTTCTATCTGCTTAAAATTACCCTCATTCAGATCTGTTATCAAAGGCTTTCGTCTCTGTTAAGCTTCTTTAGATTTCTCACAAATCAGCTGTCCCTTTCTCTGTTACTGTAGAACTTTGTTTCTTTTAATGTCATAGAAGTCTCCACAATGGGTTTGTGAGTGTGTTTCCATTAACTTCTAGGGGCTAGATCAATGCCATACTTGCTCCAGCCCCCAGCGTTACTGGGGTGTCACTAGGCCTGGTAATTGTTGGTGCTCAGGACTTGTTTGCTGACAGAAGTTCCTCTTGACACAGGAAAGGTGGAGAGATCTGTGGGCAGCTCCGAGCTCTAGGGGCCTCCCTGGACTGGGACCGAGAGTGTTTTACTATGGATGCTGTGAGTGTTCTAGGCCTGGTTCCTGTGGGTGTTGGGGAGGTGTTTAGAGATCTGCGCAGGGAGGTTGCTTTGTGTGCTGGGGGTAGCAGGGTGGGAGTGCCTGGGTCCCTGAGTGAGGCAATGGGCTGAGAACGGGCTGTTGAATGTGGACACTCAGGCCATTCTAGGGTGCCACAGTGGCTGTGACAGAAGCTTTCGTGCGACTCCACAAAGCAGGGTTGTTATACCGGGGCCGGCAGCTTGTCAACTGGTCATGCGCTTTAAGATCAGCCATCTCGGATATTGAGGTGAGGCAAAGAAAGAGAAGCAGGTTTGTAAGAGTTCTAAGGCAGGTGAAAGCTCGGAGTCTGGAGCCAGACTGCCTGGATTCACATCCCAGTCCTCCCACCTACCAGCTGTAGGACTTCTGACAGTTTATTACCCTTCGTGAGCCTCAATTTCCCTAATTTGTAAATTAGGGTTGATGGGAATGCCTGCATCTTGCGGGTGTTGTGAGAATGAAGTGAGAACTCAATGGAAGGTGTTCAGCACAACACCTGTGCGTGGTTTAAGTGCTCAGTGAATATTTACTATAACTGACTACACAAGAATTAGGTGAGGACAGAGGGAAGTGGCTCCCGAATGGAAGGTGGTTTTGGATAGATAGGCTGCGGGGAGGCTGGATCTGCAAAGGAGTCAGGCAGGAAGCCTGGATGTGAGCCTTGCAGGAAGCCTGCTAGGCCTTTGACACTGGCGTCTGCTCTCAGACCCTGCTTCTTCCATGCCTCCAGGTAGAGAGTCGGTCCCTGCCTGGCCGCACGGAGCTTCGACTGCCTGGCTGCCCCACCCCTGTGTCTTTTGGCCTCCTCATTTCTGTGGCCTTCCCCGTGGATGGAGAGCCTGGTGAGGGTCGCCCACTGATCTCTGCTTCCCCTGTTTTCTTGAGCCAGTGTTGGGCTGATGGGAGGGAACTCACCAGCATATTTCCTACATAACCTAGTGGGAAGGGCATAAGGAACCTGGGTAGAGTTTTCGTTCTTGTGGGCCATGTAAGAAAAGTGCACGTGATCACTGCTCTTTGGGAGCTTAGCGTAATTCTACAGGAGGCCGCTATTTTTGAAAGGGACAAAAGATCAGTTTTAAAGTGTGGTTCGAACAGTAAGTGTTCTGAAGAGTTCAGAGAAAGGGAAGATAATTGAGCTGGTACAGTCAGAGAATGTTTCTTGTAGGAGGGGCTGGTGCTAGCCCCAAAGAATGCATAGCATTTGTGATTTAGGGCACCAAGAACCCCCAGTGTTCTCTAGGCACTAAACAAGGATTCTAGTTGCCTTTATTAATGCCATATCCTTTTCTCCGATGCAAGTTGCTAAGGAATTCCTTAGCATCAGACAGCCTCCCACACCCCTCCCTCCCCACAACCGCTGATAACTACTGATCTTTTTACTGTCTCCATAGTTTTACTTTTTCCAGAATGACATATAATTAGGATCATACAGTGTGTAGCCATGTCAAATTGGCTCTTTTCCCTTGGTAACATGCATTTAAGGTCCCTCCATGTCTTTTCATGGTTTCATAGCTCTTTCTTTTTTAGCACAATACTATTCCATTGTGTGAATGGACCACAGGTTATTTATCCATTCACCTACTGAAGGACATCTTACTTGCTTCCAAGTTGTGGGCATTATGGGGAAAACAAAACAAAACAAAACAAAACAACAAAAAAACTCCCCCTGGCTCCTATAGACTCTGGTCCTAATTTTGTCTAGTTATTTCTGGGGGGCTACTCAGCCTTGACTGTTCCCCGACCCCCTCCCTTTTCTAGTTCTCCTGGCTTTACCTATGTCTCAGGTGAGGGGTGAGGATGACAACTAGCTATATGATTAGTTAAATGTGATTGAACTTTGTCTTCAGATACAGAGGTTGTGGTAGGAACCACGAGGCCAGAGACGTTGCCTGGAGACGTGGCTGTGGCTGTTCATCCCGATGATGCCCGATACACAGTAATACTCAGTGTTCCCTGCTCCTAGCCTTCTTACCCACAGCTTTCTCTTCCCTTCCTTTTAGGATGGCAGCTCCTTCTCTCCTGCCTCCACTTCCTTGTCCTAAGACTTAGCTTAGCTCAGCTCTCCAATGGCTCTGAGTCTACTCCCTTCTTTTTTTGACATTGCACTTTCTCTCTAGCTCAGGGGTTGAGAAAGTAGGGCCCGCGGGCCAAATCCACACCTCTGACTGTTTTTGTCTGTGCCACACTCATTGGCTTACGCTCCTGCTGTATGGTTACCTCTGTCACAGTGGCAGATGGAGTAATTATGCAGACTGCATTTGCCTCTTGTCCTGCAAAGCCTAAAATTTTCACACTCCAGCCCAAAGAAAACGTTTGCTCACCCTGCTCTGGCTCTTTACCTCTGTTTCTTATTCCCAGGGTTCTCATGCCCCACCTAGACCTTTCCACCCCACACGTGTGCATGTCCTTGATCCCTCTCCCTTCCTTTTAGCACCTACATGGACGGCAGCTTCGTCACCCTTTAACAGGACAGCTTCTTCCCCTCATCACAGATTCTGCTGTCCAGCCACATGTGGGCACAGGTGTGTGGAGGTCAGGAGAAAGAGAAAGCTGGGGTGCTGGGGGTAAACCAGGAGGAGAAAGAAAGTAGGGGAGGGAAATCTCATATGGAATAGTCTGAATGGGTGGGTAGTGGGGAAAGAAAGGGAGGCACAGAGAAGGAGGGAGAGAACAGGGAGGTGTGGGCAGTGATGGTATCTGTGGAGAAACAAAATTCAGGATCAGGGTTCAGTGCTCATGGTGGCTCTGCTCCCCCAGGGGCGGTGAAGGTGACTCCAGCTCACAGCCCTGCTGATGCTGAGCTGGGGGCCCGGCATGGCTTGAACCCCCTGAGCGTCATTGCGGAGGATGGGACCATGACCTCCCTCTGTGGAGACTGGCTGCAGGTGGTACCAGCCTCAGTGTTACCCCATCCTTTGGGAGCACCCTCTGTTCCTCCTCCCCTCTCCCACTTTCTTATTTTTCTAGAGGCCTTTCACATTTACCATTGCCACTTTTCTCCCAGGGCCTTCACCGATTCGTGGCCCGGGAAAAGATTATGTCTGCACTGAGGGAGCGGGGCCTGTTCCGGGGCCTCCAGAACCACCCCATGGTGCTGCCCATTTGCAGGTAACCACATTTTAACTCCTTTACTTAGGCCACCCCCAGGAGGGAATGGATGAAACTTGAGTGACAGTGGGATGGGTTCTGTACCCCTCATGCTAGAATATTATGCTAGAATAGTTCTCTGTCAGTTTTGTTTGCTGCTGTGTCCTGAGTACTGAGAGCCTGGCATGTAGTAGGGTTCCATGTTCTGGGGGGAGAGGCACAGGGCTGGAGGAGCAGTGGACTCACCCCACCTCCCTTTCAGCCGTTCTGGGGACGTGGTAGAATACCTACTAAAGAGCCAGTGGTTTGTCCGCTGCCGGGAGATGGGAGACCGAGCTGCCCAGGTGAGGTCGCACTGCGAGGAAGGACTGGGGCCTGGGCATGGGGAGCTCCCTGAGAACTGGAATGAAGAAACAGGCAGGCTGGAGGCCGTCCTGCCTCACAGACTTATCTAGCTGTGGCAATGGACAGGATGGCTTTGGGGAAGGAGGCAAGGTGTGTCCTCACTCAAATCCAGAATCTTCTTAGAAGGTTTGGGAGGTCACTTCTGAGCTTAAGAAGAACCTCAGAGGCCACCTGTACCATCCAGGGAGTGGTGTGGGTGCAGGAAGGGAAGCCCTGTCTAAAGATCCTCTTTCTCTAGGCTGTACAGTCGGGAGCCCTGGAGCTCAGCCCGTCCTTCCACCAGAAGAACTGGCAGCACTGGTTTTCCCACATTGGGTAAGGGAGAGGGGCGCTCTCATGGAGATGGGAGGGAGAAACTCATTGGTCATGCTGAGAATTCACTCCTGCTCTCCTGCTTCTGGCAGGGACTGGTGTGTCTCCCGGCAGCTGTGGTGGGGCCATCGGATTCCAGCCTACCTGGTTGTAGAAGATTCTGTGAAGGTTTGTAGGAAGAAGCACACGAGAGGGCTGGGCAGGGGAAGAGCTTTAGCGCAGGAGTCAGAGGTCTTTCAGTGCTGTCTCAACTCCCTGCCTTTCCTGGATTTTGAGCCTTATTCTTGTACCCTACTGCCTGATGGCTTGTGGGGGTGGGGAGGCTGGCAGGCCTGGCGTTCTTTATCTCACTGCCAGAGGGCCCCATAAAAGACTGAGGCTCAGTGAGGTTTCTCACCTGTCAGGTGTTCTTCCTCACGATCCCCCACCCCTTACTTATTCCGTAGGGTGACAGGGAGGACTGTTGGGTGGTTGGGCGGACGGAGGCCGAGGCTAGAGAAGTAGCAGCAGAACTGACAGGGAGACCAGGGGCAGAGCTGACCCTCGAGAGGGGTGAGTACCTGAGCCATGGAGGGCTGGGGAGGGCACCTGGGTCTTGGAGAGGTAGGGTTGGGAAAGTCAGGGTAGGGGTTGGGCTGGAAAGGTGGGCAGCAGTGGGTCGAAGTTCTAGAAGCTGAGGTTCCAATCGTCTCCTTTTCCTATTCTGTTTCCCAGACCCCGATGTCCTGGACACATGGTTCTCTTCAGCTCTTTTCCCCTTTTCTGCCCTGGGCTGGCCCCAAGAGGTGAGGTACATTAAGAGGAAGAGAGTGAAGGTGGAGGTGGTGAAGGAGACGCTTGGGCCCCCTGAGAATCTTGAGGAGATGAAGCCTAGGGCCTCTTATCTTTTTCCTCCTAGACTTCAGATTTCACTCGTTTCTACCCTCTGTCACTTTTGGAAACCGGCAGTGACCTCCTCCTGTTCTGGGTGGGCCGCATGGTCATGTTGGGGACCCAGCTCACAGGGCAGCTCCCCTTCAGCAAGGTAACAGCCCCTCAGGGCCCTGTCCCTCTCTAACTCCCCAGTTTTTCCAAACCTTGTTCTCTACTGTGGTGTTTTTCATGTTCCCGCTTCCTATTTCTTGATTCACTTCCCACGGTTACCTCTAAAGTGCAGAGGCCAGAGATCCCAAGGGACCCTTTGAGAAAGGCTCCAAGCCCCCTCTGCTTACTCATCTATGCCCCCAGGTGCTGCTTCACTCCATGGTTCGGGACAGGCAGGGCCGGAAGATGAGCAAGTCCCTGGGGAATGTGCTGGACCCACGGGACATCATCACTGGGGTGGAGCTGCAGGTCAGGATGAAGAGCTGGGCAGGGAATAGGGTTTGCAGAGGAGAGGAAGGGAGCCTGAGGCTAGGAGCCTGGAGTGGTGCTGGGGGGAAGTGGGTGGGATCCTTTGTAGGGGGAGGGTCTTGGACTGAGGCTCAGGAAAACTGACTCTTCCCAGGTGCTACAGGAAAAGCTGAGGGATGGAAACTTGGACCCCGAAGAGCTGGCGATTGCAGCTGCAGCACAGGTGTGTTCCCAGTGTCTGCCGTATCTGGCTTCTAGCTCACAGCCACTGGTTTCCTCTGCAATCCAGGTTTCTGGCCCTGCAGCCTCAGAGGCATCTGCCAGCCTTCCTCTCCCTCTGGTTACAGAAAAACGACTTCCCTCATGGGATCCCTGAATGTGGGACAGATGCCTTGAGATTTGCCCTGTGCTCCCATGGGGCCCTGGGTAAGCCTTGATGAGGAGTTGTTGGGTCACACAGAGGGGCTGGCAAGGCTGAGGACTCCCTATGCCATTGCTGTGTACCTGTACATTCCCTCTTTTCCCTCTCTCCCAGGGGGTGACTTAAACTTGTCTGTCTCTGAAGTCTTGAGCTCTCGACATTTCTGCAACAAGATCTGGAATGCCCTGCGTTTTATCCTTAATGTCCTAGGGAAGAAATTCATACCCCAACCTGCAGAGGAGGTAAGAGAAAGAAGAGGTTCTTGGGACTGGGGTAGTCTTATGTCTGAGGTAGAAGGTGGCATCTAGGAGGAAAAGAAAGGCAGAGGAGTGGGAGTCGAGCTGTCCTCATCCTGCAACCCCTTTCTGCCTGCAGCTGTCCCCTTCATTCCCCATGGATGCTTGGATCCTGAGCCGCCTGGCCCACACTGCCCATGAGTGTGAGCGAGGCTTTCTCACCCGAGAGCTCTCGCTTGTTGCCCACGCCCTGCACCACTTCTGGCTCCACAGCCTCTGTGATGTCTACTTGGTGAGTGAGGCTGGGACCAAGAGTGGCATTGCCCTCCTACAGACCTGCTCCTTGTCCCCATCTAGATTGGGTTCCCTGGTAGAGAGCTCTGAGCTAGGTTCCCGATAATCCCCTCAGTTAGGACAGGACAGAAAGATGGATGAGCTAAGGGAATCCCAGTTCCCCTCTTCCCTGGGACTGTTCTAGTCACTGTTCCCTGCCTGTCACCTGGGAAGAGAGGAGGAGGTAGGGAGACCTCTGGAAAACAGTCTGACAAAAAGCAGAGCGAGGAGGCAGATGGAACTTCTTTCTCAGTCTCTCTGTTTGCTGAGTTTGGACCCTGGGCAGGCCGGGAGTGGTGAACTGACAGGGAGGAAGTGTAGTGGCCTTCAGACCAGGGATTCTCACACTTGATCCTGCGTGAGAATCACCAGGAGAGAGAGCTGGTTAACCACCAGTGCTAGGCCCCACCCCACACCCCCAGAGCGCTCATTCACCAGGTTGGGGGTAGGGTGGCGAAAATTTTCATTTGTCCGAGGTGAGGCTTGCTAGTTCAGGACTGCTGTTCTAGCTCAGTATTTCTCATTTTTTTTTTATTTCTCAAAAGTTAAAAAAAAGTCTTTGTCTCTTTGTTAAGTAAACAATTCAGTGCTTTTCTTTCTGAACTGTACGACCTTCCTGACAATTTTATTCCCTAACCACCTCTGAGAATTCTTACCCTAGATTTCCCCTTTTCACGGGACAGCTGATGGTGTCGGAGCTGCTGTGTGCCTCTTATCCACAGTGTTCCTGCCTGCTAGGGCAGTGAGTGTGTAGAGGAAGGCAAGGTCATGGCCCAACCCCTTCCCCCTGACCTATAGCCTTCTTCCCTAGGAGGCCTCGAAGCCTGTGCTGTCGCACTCGCCCTGCCCCACTGGGCCTCCTCAGGTCCTTTTCTCCTGCGCTGATGTGGGTCTCCGCCTCCTCGCCCCACTGATGCCTTTCCTGGCTGAAGAGCTCTGGCAGAGGCTGCCCCACAGACCTGGTGGCCCCCCAGCCCCCAGCATCTCTGTTGCCCCCTACCCCAGTGCCCAAAGCTTGGTGAGTCACACATCCCTGGTATCTTGGAATGGGACTACTGGTGAAGGGTTGGGGAGCAGCCTTTTAAAAGGGTTTGCTGCTGTGGGATCATCGACAGTAGTGGTTTGTACTTTACTATAGTGTGCTAATACTGCAGCGCTGTCTTGCGGGGCAGCATTAGCACAGTGGACGAGAGTGGAATTCCTTATAGACTGATACTTGCTAGCTGTGTGACTTCCTCAGTTTCCCCTATCTTTATTTTTATTTAATTTTTAATTTCTAATTTTTATTTTTTTA